CGTCCCACGCGCGTCGCCGCCCTCCCCTCCCCTCCCGCCCCTCCCGGCTCACTCGACGCGCGACCCCCCCCCCCGCCGGCCCTTTCTCGCGACGCGGCTCGGATTTCCGCAGCCCCATTGACAGAAATTGCAGCTGAAATACCGTCGCTGAACACTTCACGGCGCGCGTGAAACGGATAGAAAGCTTTTAGACGGGGAAAGAAATGCTTCACAATATGCGCGCGGCGTCTGCGCGTCTAGAAATTAGAACGGCGAAATGTTTCCTTTATCTACGACGCCGCGATGACCCGCGTGCTGTGCACGCCCGGCCCGCCCCCGCCCCCGCCCCCCGTCGTTCGTCTTCTTTCGAAGGAGCCTGGGGCCTACCGGTAATGTGTTGACCCGTTACGGGCCGCGCCACCCAACTGGCCAACTTTTACGCGCGCGCGCTGTAATCTAAGGTTATGTGGGGGGGGGGCGCCCGGGTGTTTGCGAAAGGCCGGCCACAGAGTGTGTTTTCGTTTAAGGCAAGTTTGGAAGTAATTAGAGAGATAGCGTTGCGCCTGGGGGACCAGTCACCCGCTTACGAGAAATAATATTTTGGACTACTCGTTCATCTCAAATCTTGTGAACAAGAGATTCACTCTAAAATAATTTTTGTGGGGACATTTTAATTCAGTTTTCGAATTATAGCCAACCATTGAGTAGCAAGTTCCGAACATTGTAATGAATCGTGTAATAATTTTCACATTGAATTGCCGAAAATTAAATTTAAGATTTTTGTTGAACATTTAATTTTAAAGTTGTAAGTATAGATTATTTTACTTAGTTTTCATTTTCTTTCATTAAAAATCAGATCGGATTAATGTTTTTAATCTGATCTATATGTCTTAATTCTCTTACTAGGACGTTATTGGCTGTCATTCTCTCTTCACCTTTACTCCGATTATGAATATTGTGTAAATAGACCAGAGGTTTTGTTTTTGCATGATGTCATTCAATAAGGATAGTATTTTCAACAAGTACCCCCTGACAATGAAAATCGTACTTTATTTATTAATTGGGTCTTTTTCATGAAGGTTAAGTCCCTCAACATCTGAGGTCATGAGCGTCCGTGTAATGAGAAAATGATAGTAATAATGGCGAGGGAATGATACTGTAAAAATGTTAGAATGAGAAACAAGGGAAATGGAAGAACCAGAAGAAAATATGTGCAAAAGCTTGACTTTCTCGACATAAATTGCACATGAATTGCCCAGGAATCACACCCGGACCCTATTAAATGATGTAACGCATTCAAATATATCAACCCAATACAGTGTAAAAATAGAAAAAATCACTCTTCAGGTGTTTGGTTATAATCATCATTCAAACTACATTTTAAGCATACAAGCTAGAAAATATTGAAAAGAAAGTTATTTAGTTAAAATTACTACGAAATCGTTTTATCCGATCATGTGCATTAAATTTCACCAATAGCACGTCCGTAACTTTAATTTTGACTTACATTTCCAAGCTGAATATGATTAAACGAAGTGTCAAATCATAGAGTCAAATTAGAAGTACACGAGAAAGAACATGAGAAATTATATTTTAGAAACATAACTTATGAATAAATGAGTATCAAAGATTATTTTACTCCCTCCCCAGTACAAAATATTTCAGTTTCGAGTTATTCCTCATTTCATTTCAATCACACTTCATTTACGTTTCTAATTTCTTTATTTAAAATATTTCTCATAAAATGACAAATCATCACTCTTCTTTTAAAAACAAATAACTCTTCTTTACAAACAAACTAATGAATGTTAACAAACTTCATTTAATATCCAGCATGAAACTCATGGTTTCTGCTTTAAGTTTTGAGTTACGCTACACTTTTTATCCAAAGCTGAAAATGACCCTCTATCCCCGCAAAAAAGACCTGTTTTCTCCTTCGGCGACACCACTCATTCCGTCTCTCTTCGTTTGCGTTCCGCGCTCGGCCCATCAGCGTGGATGTGTGCTCGCAGCAAACACGTCAGGGCGTATCTGCCGGCTGGTGCGCTCGCAGCGCATGCCACGCCGGTCCAGCCGCATCCACATCCACGGCGACACGTCCGCGCGATAGCACGCCCACTGTCTTTCACGCGCTTTATGCGAATCCCCGCCCGCGCCAGACTCTCACCTCCAGCCATCGGCGCCCACCTGACACACCCATTTTCGAGATAGCGCCGGCCGATAATATCTATAATAAACGATCGGAAGGGAAGTGCGTACTGAAAATTTGCGGTGTTTTGTTGTTGTCTGCGCGTGATCAACGCTAGCACGGGAGGTCATTTCCGAAGCTCACAATGCCATGTTTCGTCTGATGGCATTCGCCTCGAGATTATATTGGAACGGAGAAATGGATTTGAGCCCTATTGAAGATAATGGGTAACTTTCTATCATAACATTCGTTTCAGGTCGGTTGGTTTACATTAAATTGCATTGTCGATAGATCGTCAAGTTCAGGAACAGGGTACTGATCCTGAAAAGGAAATTGCATTAATGCGGTATGAGACATGGCGACAATGAATAAAGGTTATTTATAACGTGTTTCAGTGTAAGGAAATTTGACGATATGCACGTATACAGCATAAATGACCACATTGTGTATGATATATTATCTTACGTAATCATTTATGAAAACAATATTGTCACAATTCAACTATAATTTTACGTTTATACTCATAGTCTTATATATTTTAATTACCTACAGTGAAAATTTACGCAACTGTTTTCAGTTTTGTAACAAGAGTTATTAGTTCAAAGAGTAATCAAAGGCCCATTGCCCATAATAACATTGAAAATGAGTTTTACTAGAACACGAGTGACCTAATATCCTCATGTACTACTTTATATTAATAATCCGAATCCTTCTACAAACTGATATCAACATCAGAACGGTCATTATTCGCAGGAAGAATATTCAAATTTAAACGAAAATTCTGAAAACTGAACTCTACTGTAAGTAGCCCGTTAAAAATCACGGTTCATTTAATAGTATAATATTCCAGAGCCTCTACAATATATTCGAGAAAATATGAACTGTTGAAGCGCCACTAATTTCAGTATTCATTGACTTTTGTATCATCATTCAGATAGTGTCTCCTGCTTTTGTGTATTAACAAAGCAATATAACCCCCAACTTTCTGAAACAATTACCGCGAAAAATATCTCTCCGTTGTAACAATGCCAAATAATACAGCGGTTTCTTAGCGATCCGGTAGGATTGAATTTTTTTATTCCTTATGCCATCTTATGCGAAAAATCTTTGCTGGAGGTATATTCTGAAACAATAAGCAACGTAATATATTTATTCTTAATAAAGCCAAATTTGCAAGAAATATTTGTTTTGCTCCATGCACTCAAACGTTTCAATACTATCACGAGGCCGCAATACATTATGTTATAGAAAAGTATTTTTACAAGGTTGACAGAACGTACGATATTCGTGAATATCAGGAATATTCGGGAACACCTGTACTAGTGGGTTGTTCCCTTTCCGATATCTTCACCAGCGGGCACCGCCTTACCATATTACCTTACCATACCATCAGAGCAAGCTCGAAGCTCCGGATTGGTCTCCGCGTGGTAGTACAATGCATGTAAGTGTGAGGGGTGAGGAAAGGACAAGCTAGAGGAAGGAAAGATCGCGTTTGGTGTGTGGCCCGTGTGTTACGGCATTCGCCTAGTGTTGATCGGAGAATCCCTTGAAACACCCGATCAGAGCAGCCGGGCGCTGTAATTTTCCTCCAGACAGCGGCTGAATTCGAAGGCTCTAGTGTCGCTACTGGCTGGTGCTGCAAGTGCCGAAAATCCAATCGTCACTGGATTCTCGAACGGGAGGACTTCCCGTCTGAGACACCGCAGTGTTAACGTTTTTGCCCTGAGGGCTGCGGGCGAGAAGCCTCTCATTTTCGCGAGCGTTTGCGGTCGACTATCGGCGGCGGCGGCGGCGGCGGCAGCGGCGTCGTGAACAGAGGAAGGCGGGCGAGCGTCGGAAGGGGAAAGGGGAGGGGCAAAGTGCGCCGTTACAGAAAAGTTTGCGCAGAGCGAAGTGTTTGTCGACACGCGAACCGGTCGCGCGGTCGGCGACGCCTTCCCAGACGCCTCCAACGCCACACAGGGAGCCGGGGTACGTTAAAAACATCGAGAACGGACGGCAATCTTCGACGTTTTGGAATAGTGATGTTGCTTTTTATTAGCAACGCGCACTGGTTACTTTCTGTTCATCTAAGTCGAAGGAGTTCGTTATTCACAAATGGATTTCAAAGAATCTCCGTAATTTAACTCCCCAGAGGTTCTTTTGAGTTGGAGAGATTGAACATGTTGAAAATAAATAATAAGAGCTGATGAACGTTGTTGGAAGAGTTTTAATCGCTCCATACACTGAAAATATCCATATCATCCAGATGATGAAATTCCGTGGCCCCAAAATGTAAAAAAAATGTTTGTTGGAAAAATAATTTATTTTAAATACCGTTTGCAATGTCATGTAACCCTGCCCCCCTCGTAGTTCGCCCTCTTTATTTATGTATATCATACGCCAGAAAATTTACGTCGCTTCGCCCAGAAACATTGGCATCTTAACAATGGAATAAACAGTGAATTCTTCATTACTGCCTCTTAAGTTTTATATTACAATGTTAAAAGTTTTTGTAAATTAAAGCAAGAATACGAAATTAGCCGCATAAATGGTGACTTCTGACAAACTACGTGTATTGAGTGTCCATTTTGTCATCCATCAATTTCAAGTATCGTTCTCATTTAATAATGTAATATGTGCCATAACACTCTTGTGGATAAAAAATGTAAATTGTCTATTCTTTAAAACTGTTATTAGAATTTTTTTGACTTTTTTGTTCTTAAAATGATCAAGTATTTTTTAGCAAATCTTATCCTAAACTAGTTTACTATTCTCCTAGACTTGGAGAGCCAGAGTAAATGTCATCTATTATTCACAATATTATTATTATTATTATTATTATTTATATTAGAGCTATTTGTCGAAAGTATGTTTAAACACTTTTCACTGCAGTGTTGGAACTTTCTCCGATTTCTGCCTGTTTCACTTCCGAAGAGTGAAAACCTTATCACTGAACTTTGTCCTTGCATCTCAGAAGTTTCAGAAAGAAGCTGATATTTTTTAAATGACCGCAAGAGCTTGTGTTTACGTTCATTATGACTGAATAGCTCAATAAATGTGTTCCCAATATTGACAAATTTTCTCTCAAAAACGTTCATTTTCATTTAATGAATCTTTTTCCCTCCACATTCATTTGCCTCGTTAATTATTGAACAACATTCGAATTCAAGCTTTTTAAGTACACACATCTTAAACCTCATCCACAAAGCGATTTAACGCTCCGGCCATCGCCTGCCAATAGCTATTACCGAAAGCACATAAATCGTGTTGACACAATCGGAAGCCGACACAACCGCGACGGCGATCAGATAAGTCCCCTGAATAAAACGCCAGTTAGCCGCGAATTGCTGTTTAACCCGGGGGAGCGAGAGGGGCGTGCCCGAGTAATACGGTTCCCCCGGCCGCTTTCAAGGTGCTCTAAACGGGTCCATTACGAGGTGCTTATCGCGCGGATGATCGCGCTCGCGACACGAAACGCAGTCGACGTCGCGCCAAGGAGATCGCGCCCCGAAACAGTCGGCACCTCGAGGCAGATCGCGTCGCGAGCCAGTTCGCGTCGCGAGCCAGTTCGCGTCGCGAGCCAGTTCGCGTCGCGAGCCAGTTCGCGTCGCGAGGCAGTTCACATCGCGAGGCATATCGCGTCGCGAGGCAGTTCGCTTCGCTCCGAATAAGATCGCGCTAATAGGACTGTCGCTCTCCGAGTCAATCCCAAGAGATAGGTCGCGACCAGATATAGTTCGCAGCGCTAGCCAATTCCGTCAGATGATGTCCTTTATTTGTGAGGCCATATATGACTGTAAAAGAAGTTACTGATACTACAGTACATACTAGTATTAATTGTAGAGATTGCAAAATACTATAATTATACAGCTTCTGTCCAGTGCTTTTTTTTCTTTGACAAGATGGCGTTGTATACTTAGAACATGACACAAACATGGATGGATGTTGTTACACAGTGGAGCAACAACGGCGCATATTTTTTCATATTAATTTAATGGTTACGTAATATTACAATTTTACAAATTTGTACTTGCTTCTCTTGAGGAGCTTTTAATTAATCGATTTCTGAGTGTGTGGAAAAGATGGGCATACCTTCAATTCTTGTAAATGCCAATGCCTCAATTCAAATGGCATATCCTGAAGATAATTCCACATTTCAAGCTATAAACTAACAAAAAAATCCACAAAGCCCCAAAAAATCATGGGCGAGCCGGAAATCGGTGCTTGTAACGAAACAAATACACTGTTAATTAATAAATAGATTAGCAAGATTTAGAATGCTGTAATGTACAGATAATTCTTTTATGCATATAGATAATTTAAAGTACTTCTTGTAACGCATAGGAACATTCATATCGCAACTGCTCACTTGGATGGTTGCACGCCGTCAAGCAGCTCTGAATCAGCTCAAGGATCGCGGCCTCGCCTCCCAACCACTCGCCATCAATCCCGGCCGCGCTGCTCGCAGGCTGAGCGGATGCGGCGGGCGACCGCGTCGCAGTGTCGCCCGCGTGACGCCGCCCCGCGAAGCCGCCCCGTCCGCCCGCCCCGCCCAGCCCCGCCCCGCCCGCCCACGCTCCGCCAACAGCTAACGCCCGCCCCGACTCGGCGCCCGCCCGATCGCACCCGCATTCGCACCGCTCGCCCCGCCCCGCCCGCCCCGCCCCGCCCCGCCCCCCCCCGCGCCGCCCCGCCCCGCACGACCCGCCCGCCCCCGCCCCGCCCCGCCACGCCCGCCACGCCCGGGCGCCGCTCGCGAGAAGTGGGCGGCGCTGCGGCCAGGCGCCTAATGGCCGCTTCCATTCACGACACGTCCCGACGCCTGCGGGGGCGGCCTTCCCTCCTGCCACGCCCCCCTCTCCCTCTCTCTCGTTCTCCAGGTGCAGTCTCTACCTCCCTCCCATTCTCTCTCCCGATGCCACCTCTCCATATCTCTTTCTTACTCTTTCTCTCATTCACACACCATTCTTTCCTTCCTCCTGCCTCTCTCCCCGTTCCTCTCTCCCCCCCCCCTCTCCCTCCGACTCCATCTCTCTCATTCTCCATGTAATATCTGTCTCTCATTCTCTTTCCCGATGATACATCTCTCTATCTCTTTTTTACTCTTTTTCCCATTCACACCTCACTCTATCCCTATCTCTCTGCCCGTTTTTCTCTCGTCCTCTCTCTCTCTCACTCTCTCTCTCTCTCTGTCTTTATATTTCTCACTCAATCTCCAGATGCCATCTCTCCCCATCTCATTCTCTCTCCCGCTGCCATCGCTCCATAGCTTTATCTTGTTATTTATCCTTCCATTCACCCCACTCTCTTCCTCCCACTCTCTCACCCCGTCCTTCTCTAATTCTCTTTCCAGACGCCACCTTTCTATCTCTCTCGTTCTCTCTCCCGATGCCACCAATTCCTATCTCTTATTCTTCTGTACTCTTTACTTTATCCCTTCACTCTCCCCCTCTCACTCTCTCCCGTTTGCAGTCCCACTCACCAGACGCTCTCCCTTCCATTTTCTGCCTCCTCACTTTTACTCTCACTCTTCTTACATCTCATTGCATTGCTGTTCGTCTGTCCTCCCTAGCTCTCTCCGCCATCATACTCTCTCTTTCTCTACCTTCCTTCTCTCTCCTCCACTAATATTTCTCCGCCCTCTCGCCTCCTCTCGAATCTTTCCCTCTCGCTATTTTTTCTGTCTTTCCTTTCTCTTTTTCTTTGTCGTTTTCTTTCTTTTCCTCACCTTCCTCTTCTTTTTCTTCTCTCATTCTCTCACTTTCATTCGCCTCGTTTGCTTCCGATTAACGCGTCCCCTTTCAAGCTATCTGTTCCATCTCCCTCCCCTTCCTTTCACCCCATTCTCTCCCTTGATCTCCCAATCTTTCACGCACCTGCACTGGCCTCTAACTACCATTCTCTCGTAAATCCAGCATCCCCTTGCCTAACCAGCCTCTATTCAATCCACCTTACTCCAGCCCTCTCGCTCATATCCTTGCGGCGTTCCCTCCCATCTGCCTGCTTTCTCTTCCGTCGGCCCCCTCCCTCGCCGGCTGCTGCGCGGTGGAGTGCAGCAATTACCAGCCCTTGACGGCGACCAGACAAGCGACGCGGGCTTCAACAAGGGCGTGGAGTGAGATCGATGGAATCGGCCGAGGAGCGGGGCGGGGGAGGGGCGGGGTGAGGTCGGGCGAAGGTGCGAGCGGGGTGGGAGGCGAGTGCGGTCAGGGTGGCAGTGAGGTGGGCGGAGACCGGATTGAAGCTAGGGGGAGGTTCGAGCGGCTAGTCAGAATAGAGGCGGGAACCCCAATGGCATCGAAGAGGGCGGGCTGGAGAGCGTGACCGAGGCCCTTTCACTGCCCGCGACCAGCAGCGTCGCACACTTCCGGTGCAAACCAGGCACGCTTTGTAGGTGAGCGCCAAGTGCCCCAGTGAGGTTGTGTCTAGGCAGACCGCAGACTTTACCTCTTTCCCAAGTTCCTGCTTGCTATGTAACGAGGCAGGCGTTACCCAGACTGGGATGTAGAAGAAAGTGTTCGAGAAGATTTTAACGTTAGTAATAAGTAGTTCGAAGTTTGTTGTTATCATTAAGAAGGGAAAAACGATTTTGGATAACATAGCCTTCTCATGATACGTTTGTTTCGATCACACGGGTTTTTTGTGGTTGTAATTTTGTTGATTTTTATATTGCCTTTGGTCGTTTTTATTATTAATATGTACGATTTCTATGTAAATAAAAGCAAAATTTGAAATATTTAATTTGCAATGCACTGGTAAATTGTGCTAAATAATTCGACGATAAGTTTTTAAATTATCGTAATAACTGTAATTTAAGCATCGTTTTTGAACAAGTGCTGATTATATGATGCATTTTACTCATTCACATTCAAGTCTAACTTTTTCTCCGAGAACAAACCTTATTCAGTGATACTGTAATTTTAAAAATTCCTGCATTGGTTGATTTGAACTGTTTGGCATTATACTTCTAAATGTAAGCCTAAATTTTTTCTAAATAATAAAATTAATAATAATAATAATAATTATAATAATAATAATAATAATTATAATAATAATAATAATAATAATAATAATAATAATAATAATAATAATAATAATATGAAACGTTCCTGTGTTTTTGATAAGTTGTTTCTTCTGTGTGTTTACCGAGACAAGCGTCGCTGTTCCTTTAAAATAGTTTCCAGGAGATATTTTCACAATGACATTACGAGTAAACTCACGTTCTAACAACAAAAAAAGATCATGTAAAAAGCAAGCATAAGAAATGCGGTCTCCGTGGTTGAATGTCACATTGCGAATTCAACTAAAACTACTAAAGATAAGTGCCCGGAATGGACATAATGGCTACGAAATAAAACAAATGTGTGCACTGGGTATACATTATGAGAGGGAAAGAAAGTGTGTTGGATGCAATGGGGTATATTGAATAGATAACTGCAGCGCATTGGTTGAATTAAAACATTCAAAAAGCCGAATGCCTTCAATTCATTTCAGTAACAGGGTATGAGGTGGCACGGACGAAATATTAAAACACGCATTCAGAAGCTTACCATGTATGCTAGCTTTTATTTAAAGGAAGTTGAACAACAAAGAGATCTGTATCTGGTTAGAGGTTGGAAAAATAAATAAAAAATAAATAAATATAAATAAATAAAGATATTGTTTGGTATCAATATTTTAATTCAGCTTATGATCATTTCGATTGCGTTCTGGGCCGAAAACAAAGTTCTGCACAGAACTTCTCACAGTTCTGTGCAGAAGCTGCAACTCTGAGGATGATCGCTACGCGTTCGAAATGATCATAGGCAGAATTAAAATATTGATACCAGAAAAAGATCTTTATTTATTTATCATATTACACTTTTTAATCAATGCCAACATCTCAACTGAAAAGCAAGTTTGTAAAAAACACGGATTTGCTAGTTTTTTTATTTAGTCTGAAAAAAGAATGAGCGTGAAATAATTGGTGAATGCGGTATATGGATTTTTCAGTGTAAAAGATTCTCTAATTTCTACACCACGTTCCTCTGTGCTATTTACTCGCAGAAACAAAGAAGCGTTTGCGCGCGTGTGCCCGGACGGCTGTGCCAAAGCGCGGGTTCCTCTCTCCGCCGCGACCTGCTCCGCCAGCAGCGCTTCGATCGGAGGGGCGGGGAGGAGAGGTTCGGAATCGGAGCTTGGCGGGGGTGCGATACTCGGGAAGCAACGTGGAGGGCGTGGGGTGCAGGCGAGGGGAGGAGCGGGGTTGGAGCGAAGCGGGGTTAGAACGGGGCGGAATGATGGCGGCGTGCGAGAGCAAGCTGATCAGCGAACCAGAGAGGTTTTGAGGCGGAATGAAGAGGGGGAAACAGAATGAAGTCTGAGCGGGACGGGAACAAAGCGAAGCGGATGCGAAAGGAGAAGAAGGAATGAAACGCAGCGGAAGAGGATAAGTATGAGGTGGAATAGAGGGTAAATCGGATATGGATGTCGGAGGTGCGGGGACGTTGGGGCGGAGATATGCAACGACGGAGGGGATTAGGGATGCAGGGAAGCGTGGACGGAGAGGAGTGAGGACAGCTAGAAGCGGGGAAGGAGAGAATCGGCAATGGAGGGAGACGGGGACGGAGAGGAGCGGAGATGCGGAGGATCGGGGGTGGAGGGAAGATGGAACGGAGCGGAGCCACGACAGAGAAGAGCGAGGACGGACGGAAGCGGGGATGGAGCGGAGCCAGGACAGAGAGGCGCGGGGATGTACCGTAGCATAACGGAGGCGAAGTTAAAACGGCGGCGGGGAGGTGAAACGGACCGAGAGCGCGGCGGGGGCGGGGCAACGGGCGAGCGCGTTCCACGCGGGCGTGGGTGGCGCGCCAAAGGTGCGCTCTCGCAACAAAAAACGTCGCCCTGCATAGCAACGCAAAAAGAACTACATTCCCCTCCCCGGGCCGCGCCCCTCCGCGCCCGCGCGCGCCGTCAATTGCGCGTCACCGCAACGCGGGGGCGGGCCCGCGCCGGGCGGTAGCCCGACAAAACTATCCGATGGACAGCGCGCCGCAAATATTTGCAGCTGCCCGTCGACGCGCGCCCCTGCCCCGCCGCCCCCGCCCCGTGGACGTCGCGCTGCGATAGCACGCTCGCTGCGCGGCGCACGCGGCCCCCTTCCACGCCCACGCGCTCGCGTCTGCTCGCCCCGCTCCCCCGGCTACCACGTGGCCTCCCCGACGACGCTCTTGCGTCCAGCGTGCATACTCTGTGTTTGGTTCTTTTAACACTCCCATGTCCTCAATGCTCAATGCCGGTGCTTTCTGTCTTCACCTCCCCTGGCTTCCGCGAGGCCTTGCCGCTGCGCGGTCGTGCGTCCCCAACACCACTGCCCTTGCGTTCGCCATGCAATCTCTATTTGGGTCTTTTAACGTCCGCAAGTTCTCAATGCTCAATGTCCTCAGAGCTTTCTGTCCCCACCACTCCCCTCCTTCTGCGTGGGCTCTTCGACGTAGTGTCGAACGGCGCGAGCAGTATCCTCAACGCTGCACTTGCGTTCACAATCGAACTCAGGGTTTATTTCTTTTAGCATTTCCAAATCCTCAGTGCTTTCTGTCCTCATCTCTTCTCCAGCTTCCATGCGTCTTAGTCTACACGCGTTCGTACCAGAGGAGCAGTCTCCCTAACACCTCCCTGTGTTCACCGTACAAACTGTGCAGTTACTTGTGTGACGTAGTGAAATAAGAAATAAATTTCAATAACAAAATAAAAATAATATATTCAAAATTATGTACAAGTACAATTAATTGCTCATATTCAAACACTCCGGCAACCTTTTCGCTTCAGAACACTGCCTTACCGCAGAAAACAAGCATGGCGTGATGCGCGGTGTGCGGAGACCATCGTCCGATGAGCAATTACCGTCACATGGCCTGACGCCAAATTTTAACCCGCGTCAGTGGCGACCCGTGTGCCTAGCAGCACGCGAAGACAATAGTATGGCCTTACTCTTCCGGAGCATCTCGCCACACTCATACACCCCTTGTATCACACGTAACAACTTTCCGATGAAAACTGAATGAGAACGCGGGCGAGATGGGCAGCGTATATAGATATGAGGCTGACACCCTCACCACTGTTCCATAGAAGACCTCGCAGGCCAGGCCTGGTTTACGTCCCCACAACAGAATTTCTCAGGTTGGCTGCTATTCGCGTAAACGACGGCTCGCCGGCAAAGCATCCTCGGGAGTTTACAGCCTCCGGTATTTTGGCTCTGGCGGCAACTACCTGAGTCAAGCGCGCAAACCCCGGATGTTCAGGGCTCAACCCTTCTCGCCCCGCGCGTACTTTCACAACCTAACGGTTTGGGCTCTGCTGTTGGAATGACGCCACACTGGCCTTCCAGTATTTTTGACATTCCGTGTGTTCTCATTTCTCTAGATGTTCTGCGTCGTCTATCCTCCTCGGCTGCCTTGCTTATATTGACCTCCATCAGCATGGTCAACCTGACCAAGATGTCCCTCAAACTCCATGCCTCCGTTTACTATGGTGCTCATTTGCCTGCCTATTTTTTTCATGCATTCCTAGAGGCATCACGCCGGCGCAAATACCTTTCACTCTTGTCAAACTTCAATGTTTCTTATTCATATAATTACATTTGAAAATAATGTCCTCGCTGCAGTCGAGACTTTTGTTTTCGTATCCGTTTGCTCTATTTCTTGAGCCTCCGTGCTCATGGGCAAGTGTCTATCCTGCTAGGCTCACTGTCCGTTTATGAACCGTCGTTGCTGGCAAGTGTTCTTTTGCTTGTTCTCACTCTATCTCTTCTGAATTGCCTCGCCGCTAATTGTGTAGCGCCTGGACCGGAGCGATCCTCACATATCAAATGTAAGACGGTCTGATACGGTCCCATATGGAAGTGTCGAAGGCTGGTAGCCAACCCACCGGTTCCTCAGTTTATTTCATAATTTTCTGAATCCTCACGCACACGGTCGTTCGCCGGCACCATATCCAATGTTTCTGTTCAATTTCCTCAAGCCCGGTCACCTGCCAGAGTTGCTCATCGCCTGGTGTCCCACTGCACATCGTTCAACGTTTCAATACTCAGGATTCTACATCATCATTATGCTTCGTGCACCTTCAATGTCCTTGCCATTCGAATTCTACAATAGAGATGAACTACTTTAACAATTGATTCAGGTTATAAGAGCGATTAAAAAATCGGTTCTGCAGTTGCGATTTGACTAAAAAGGTGATATTATGTGGGCGTATTTCTTTCAATTACTTAGTGAGTAATCGTAAATGTATAAAATGTATTATTTACTTTCTTTTCAATCTTAGCAATTGTTCTTAGCTGACACATGGGAAATAACGTTGTCGTTCTAGGTACATCCTTTCAGTTTTTAAGTACATGCCTTCAACAAGCACCATATTTTATAATGCTAGGCCGAAGTTAGTTTTCTGCTTCTTAATTTTGATGTAAAACGCTTTTGAAACACACGTGCACGTCTTTCCGTGCATCCTTCTCAGCAAAATAATCATCAAAACCTCAGAATGAAACCTTTGGTACGGCAAAAATAAAGTCCTTTAAAGTGCAAAGTAGGCCCAACAATGGTATTACATGCTTTAGTGTTAGCGCACTTGTGGTTCGCAGCTTTATAGGCTTTGTAGATTCTCGCCATTACTTGAACGTCACTTTTAACTGTGTCACCACTCACCGTTCTCCTGCCATGAGGCTTACCATACTCGAACTTATTCATTCGACATGGCGTAAAGTTAAAGATACGTAATTGCGAGTAATGAGAAACAATGCGCGCGGTGTGCGCCGAAGATTGAGTATGCTCTTTTACTCCGCAAGCGGACTACCTCTCTTCAACACCACTCCAAACCCCCCCCCCCCACGCCGCTCCAACCCCCCCCTCGTGACGCCGCGCGCGGCCGGCGGCCGTGTGAGTAATTACATAAACGCGATGCCTATTTTAATTGGAGTTGTGTCTGCAAATACAGACGGCCTGATAATGTTTTAGTCCTCCTAATTACCTTGATGTTTTGCATTCAAAAACTTGTAATTAGAAGCGAGAAACTGCAGACCCCTCCGACTTCGTCGCCCCCGACCCTGCCGCTGTGTCATCAGGGGTGTCCAAACCGGGTCCTTGAGATACACCTGCCGCATAGTTTTAGATGTTGTGAGTCTTCAAGATGCCGCGACCTAGAATGGTTTGTTTGTCATCGTGCTCGTATTCAGTGCAAAAGTAATGTTGCAATGCTCCTTCTGGGTCATTAACGTCCCTCCATCAATGGAGTTTTTAGTTGTTTTCTCAATCGAATGCTGAGATTATCGCTTGGTTCTCCGAGACATACTGAATTTAGTTTTCCCAAACGTTACTTACATAGCTTTACTTAACACTAAATAAATCTATAAATGATAAATATTGGTAGCCTACAAGGAAAGCACACTATGGCTACTTTCTATAATTTGATATAAAGTAAAAACTAGTAATTTCGTCTCAAAATAAGTAAATGAACTTTTTTAGAATACTCGTACATAGGTGGCGTGCATTTATATGATTAAGGCATCATATTTACTAAACAAACATACAGAGCAAACAATTGTCATAATTCTTTAACCAATTCCAGTAACGATTTTTTCACTTACGAATATTGGCGATACTATTCGTATACTGTTGCGAATAGAGATGTACCAAATGAAGTCTAGATTTAGCCGGTCAGAATTAGTTTTACCTTTCATCAGTATAAGTGATCATTTGCCTTGAAAAACATAATAAAATTGTTTAAAGAGACACTGACGTGAACAAAAATGCATTGTCCGAAACAAGCACACAACTTTGCTTCCTACTGTACGTAGAAAGCTTCACATTATTGACACTAGTGACTTAATGTTTGTATGGTACAGACAAGTAAATAAATGAAAAAATGATAACAAAATTACTAGTTTTTTGATAACTTTTATACAGATTGTAAGAAAGAAATGCAAATGCCATTGCAGATCGTTTAGATTGACAGCAATGTTATGTATAGCGATCTTGTTCATTATAATTATTCAATAGATATGGAAATTACGGTGTTGAGGAGTCCAGTTCATTACTTGCACTTAATAAAATAATAATATAATAAATAAAATTTGTTGAAAGAAATTAAATTTCTTTATTTAAACACGTAATTCTATTGCCTAGAGTAACATTATTCAAACGGCATGTGTAAATGATGTATTTTTACTGCCCATACATATAATAATTCATTAATAATGTTTTATATAATTACATTGTACTGATACTCAATACCGGCGCGAAGCATGAACAGACCGGGCGATCACGGCCCAAATCACGCAAATCACGGGGCCCGAGGGGAAAAAATTATTAAAAAAATTAAAAAGAAATTAGAGCTCAAGAATATCGTTATTGTAAATTTATAAGTCGCTGTACAGTAGTCAGGCATTTCATAAAATTTTCAATTAATGTTTTATCTTAAATAGTTAATTATAGTAATTACTTATAAGGTAGAACTCAATGAAATGAATCAAATTACGCTAACATTGAAATAGTTTCTACTGAAATTCACATTCATTAATTCATGTATTTTACATGCCTTTTTAATTGCCTTCATTTATCACTAACTGAACACAACAATTTCTTTTACGCTTAAAGCTCACCTGGATAATTGTATAATTTGATCACTAAATACGTTTACCTAAAACTATTATTTAAAATAACAAAAATTTTCAAAACCTTTTTCTCCCACAAACGTTCTAACTTTTGTTATTTCTTGAAATGAAATATCTCATATAGTTCCTTGATACAAGTTTCATATTTTCAATATTTTCTGGGAGGGGGGCGGGGGGGCTACGTTTCAACATTACCCCAGGCCCAAAATTGTCTAGCTCCGGCACTGCTGATGCTAATTCGTGCTCACTCGTCACATTCATAAAATTCAAAAGTGTTTTTGCAAATACTCTTTCTCTAGATTTTAGTTATAATTATTTGAGCTTAAGAAGAAGAAACGGCTAGAAAAAAAATTTGCGTCAGAGTGTAAGAAAACTTCCAATACACTTCGTACACTCTTGAGAACGAATATACTCTCTCTTGTAAAGTACCTTCGTATTTGCAGCTAGACATTCAGAAATATATTTAATGCAGTAAAAAGAAACCGTAAAAAAGTATAAAGACGAAGCGCGTACCCATTAATGTAGGGAATAAATTCACTCACGGCCCTTTCTGCATATTGGAACTTGATGGAATGAGCTGCATCCATAGAATACGTTGTGCCGTTCGCATACTCCTTTGTACTGTCGTTTCCAACAATAGCATCACCCGAACAAAGCATTCGATTGCAGCAGAGCCCGCGTGGATCACGTGCAATTTGGTGGCTTTTGTTTACGCGTAGCCCTACGCGCAGAAACAGTTGAATTCTGCTGGCGATGTGCCTTTATTCGCAATAATCGAGTGGCTGTGAAGGCCGTGTTATCGTAGCAGACAAGAGCAGCGAGAGAGCGAGCGGGCTAGAGAAAGACGCACTGGCCTGCTATGGATGAATCAAGGCATCATAGACAAAGCACTTTCTGAGTATTCGAAGAATCACAACCTGCGGTGTTTCTCTACTTGACTCTGCAATTGGCATTTTTATGTCACAATATTGAGACTTCAATTCTAAAGATTAGTCACGATTTTGAAATAAGAACTAATTACGGTATAAACGTACAATAATAATAATAATAGTAGTAATAATAATAATAATAATAATAATAATAATAATAGCTGCCTAAAAGCTGATCCCCTTAATTACACCCGTTAATCTCTCTCCAGGATAGAATACGACAAGGCCTCGGTAGAGAACGTGTGGCCTGGCCAGAAATAACCGATACGCAAATAATAATAATAATAATAATAATAATAATAATAATAATAATAATAATAATAGTAATAATATACAGTTGCGTACAGTCAAAATTAAAGTGTCTGTTGCAGCTGTGGTGCTGCCCCTGAGGAGAGATACCTCGAAAGGAAAAAACCTTTACCTGCTAGTAAGTCGGTACCGAGTCTCGCATTTCAGCAGGGAATATACACCGCTATTTGTTTCTAGCAAGCATTACACTTTCAGGACAAATGAATTCGGTAGTTGGCGTACCCGGAATCAATCATTAGTAATTCACGGGACTTCACGAAAGATGTGAGAGATGCATTCCGAAACATTTTTTTGTAGTAGTACTTCATAACACTAATCAGATGTGTTTCAAACGTGAGTTGTCGACGGTAGTAGACGTGTTTGCGCAAGAACTCGATTTTCGCGAGGATTGCCACAAACAGTCGTTTGGACGCCCAAGTCAACAGCCAAATCCTGGGAAATGAATTCATCTGGGCTCTGTTACTCCCTGCAAAGTGAGATAAAGTACACAGACACTTGGAGGACTTCCCAAAGGCTTTCTGTCTCTCTCCCTCTCTGCGGATTAAACCAACCTAGAGAGCACAGAGACAGCTCAGGACGAGCGCTTTCCGTGCGGTGGAAGCCCTAAATTTGCGGCAGACTTTTGAAGCGTGTAGCCACGTTTGTTGCGGTGCCCGTCTCAATGAAAGTGTTAAAATTGTTTCAGAATACTTTTCGCGACACTTTTCTTTGAAGTGAACATTTTAGCTCAGTCTTGTTCTATTGCATTCATCTTCATCAGATTTTGCGTCCAGTTTCTCTTTATTCATTAAAAAAATACTAATATGGCCCTTTATCTTACTTCTAGACTTAAATGTAGCTTCACTATTCCCACGTTTAGTTGAGTTCTCTTGTAATGGTTACGGGAGATGTATTGCATGGGGGTGTTATTGTATCAACAGAACAATGAAATAAAATCTCTAGTTCGTTTGCCGATGAATAGTTTTTAATATTATAATCCATTAGTTACTGTTTTTTACCTATAAATGGATAATTTTAGCATGATAATGTTTTGGTAAGGACAAAGTATTTTTTTTTATTTGTTATTATACTTATCCAAAAATTTGCATATATGTTACTAGTATACATTGTACTAGGGCGCATTGACTATGTTACTAGGATGCATGTAAACACAATTTTCGTATTAATCACCGAGTCTATTACCTTACTATCGAATATCAACTTTACTTAAAGAAACTCAGATATTTGCTAGTGATAATAAAAGGTGTCAAAGGAGATACGACTCTACGTTAAGGTATTTCATTTCAATGCAGAGGTTGTGTTGACTTACGGCGATATTATGTGTTTGCACGATTTATAAATTAATATAAGTTGAATTTGCAGTAATAAGATTTTAAGGCAGTAATGCCGTAGCGATTTCTTGACCTAAGGATCCTATGTTTGAGTCCCTTCTGAGGCTTGGTTGTATTTGTGTTTGTCGATTCACTCCTTATCATCACCATATCATGACATCTTCACACCATAACGTTAAATCCAACATTGATCGCTAATGATCTAGATGTTGATGCAGCCTTAAATAAAAACAATTACAGTAAAATTAATGTATAGTTATATTTTATTGAATTTATTGATTTAACTTTTCGAAAAGGACAGGTATAGGAGGCAAAGAAGTTGGATAAACTGTGCAAATTCCATGAGCGTAGCGATCATATTATATCGGTACAAATAACTAGACCTCGAATGTTTAGGAAGTGCTACATGTGACACGTATGAAATGATTAAGCGAAAAATGTATATTTCTATGTTCCTTTAGATTTTTACTTTCTCAAAGTTTTATTAAAATAATTTGAAATAAATAAAAGTTATCCGAGATATTTATTTCTTCGACTCCTAAAATTTAAAAAAAATAATATTAGAGCATAAATATCTGAAGTCAACTAAAAGTTCTGTGCGCAAAATGCTAGTCCACTATAACCACTAGTTCTGATTCTGTTTCCGAGATATACTACCAATAAGATAATAATTCCCATGGGGATTCTGTTCAGAAGATTACATATTTGCAAAAAATCACAAAGAGTAAGGAGTGCACGAGTACACCAGCTGTAGATCAAGTGATCCCCTTTCTTCAAAACGTAGCTTCTGTCACAGAATAAATATTACTCACTTCTATGGCATGGATTCGAAATCACTCTTCATCAATTATCATGTTAAAGGAAATTTATTGTAACGAAGGTGACAATATGACTTTTGCCCCTGATTGATAGGCAGGAGGAGTTGTCTTGAGTGGCCGGCTGCTCTGATCAGAAGTTGTGAACGGTTTCTCCCATCAAGTAGGCCGCAGACCGCTCGCGCTCTACGTGCTATTCCTTGTCCTATCTTCACCCGTTACGTGCACTCTCTTACACTTACGTGCACTACACTATCACACATGTCGAAAGACCAGTTTACAGGGAGCATAGAGCCTGTCACTGCTGGGGCAATGCCCCGCCGATTGGAGATACCAGGAGGTGGAAAACCCGGCAAACCGACATGAAGGTCGACATCGGATCCCGCTACACATCGGAAGATCGCTCTCAGAGCCCGATGAAACATGCACTACTTTTTCGGGACAAATGGTCTCAGCCGTTGAAGCGCTCGGACACACTAGTCAGTTAATCAAAACCATAAAGTGTGTGATATTTACTCTGAGACACCTGTGTATCTTATCTTTTGATGTTGAACAACGAATAGGTATTTGCCCGGCGGCAGCCGGCGGTTGTGGAAGAGGCACAACTACCAATTAAAAGTTTTATGTATGGTGATTTTTATGTAATTACATTTTTTTTGTATTTCCACTTACCAATCTAAAATTATTTTGCTATTTTCACAAAATATTGTTTATTCTATCAATTTTATGACTCATTTTTTATGAAAAGAAGTATTAAAAAACACTCTTATTTCCTACATCGATACTGCGTGCTGTCTACTCTAGGTTCGCTACAACAAGACGCGGTAGGAGGTTTTCGCAGTCCTGCTCGTCTGCATCGGTTCTGTCCGTAGCGCAAAGAGCGCGTCAGTGACTGAGATCAGTTGCACCTTCAGAGACTATCACTGACGTCGCGACTCGTGAACTTTAACCTTAATGTTCGAGAAACTGTGCCTATCGTCGACGTGTAACTCTTTGCTGAGAATGCTGCACGCTGCAGTAATCGCTTGCAGGATGTAGATATTGCCAGTTTGTAGGTGGTTTGTACGAATTGTCGGTATGTACGGTTTGTCGTATTGCGTCTAGTGTGACAGCTAAACGATCGTTCTGAATGGTAGTAGACGAAGGTTTTTAGAACTGACGGGAAAGTTGTACGGTGCAAAGCATGCGTCAATTTGTACTCTCCAAATTAATTTTTAAAACGTTTGTATTATTTTTAGAAGTTATTTCGTTTTTTCTATAAATGTAATTTCGTATGATGTAAATGCTTGTTTTATAATTGGTGTATTTTAATATTACATATTTTATCCTATTTTACGTATTTATTACATTTTGTCGTTTCATACCACATACTTCTTTTCCGGTCTCTAATGGTGACGGTGTGTTCTCAGGAGAGCGACCCGCCGCCATGCAGACCGGCTCGGCGGGCCTGTCCAACAGCTCCCTCAACGTGGTGATGCTCATCGTCTTGTGCCTGCTGTACTCGGCGCTCTTGGAGAACGCACAGCTCAACGACGCGGCGCTGCTGGACGCGCGCGTGTGCGAGAGATAATGGCGCGGCCCGCCACCCGCCGCGCCACCGTCGCCGCCGCTGCCGCCACCGCCGCCGCGCCGAGCCGCGCCGCGCTGTCGCCGCTACTCTATCTCTCTCTCTGTCGACCCCCCTAGGTCTTCTACTACTACAACTACTATTTCTGTTTGCGGACGTCAATCCGTCCGTAAATGCGAATCGAGTGTGAGTTTTAAGATGGGAACTCTGAAGCAAGACGAATCCTACGACTTTCTTTCCGTGCGAAAAACACATTATTCTAACTGCAAGTTTATAGGCAGAACTGTGTACATAATAATACCTGTATGTTGAGCTAAGCAAATGAAATTTCCTGACCTGAATAGTTCATCCCTTATTGCCAGCGAGGACGAAGGGCGAGGAAAGGCTTTGGGAGGACGTGGGTTCTGTTGGCGAGGGGAACTGTTCCGAGCCGAGGTGGTCGAATAACAATGAGGATACCAGGGTTTCTGTGTTGCATTGATATATTTTTGTATCCTTTACGGGAAGAAATGTTTAATTGTTTTTCTGTAACCACGTAGTTCGTGTCTCCGTTGTGATAATCGATGGTAAATGAACTTTATTTGGGAAGAGTTCGGTAAACATCGGTATTTTTCGTATGGAACCCTGAGATAGGTTATTTTTCGGAAAGGGTGCTGCTGGTCAGTGAAAGGAACGAAATTTTTAACTCCATGATGAAGTCGACTGGTAAAGTAAATTTCAATGAGGTTCTCAAGCAGTCAATTCATGATTTGCAGCAAGTGAATTTCATTTGCTCGAAACCACATTGCAAGTGGAATGTTAACGAAGATATTTGCAGATTTTTGCTTCCCCAGTGTTGTTATAAAAATTAGTGTTGAAGTGGGGGATTTTTTCTGAAAAATTATGAGCATAGTTACTGGGGGAGGTCATTTAAATTGTAAATATTGAAACCCAGGTTGTATTTATTACCAGTGTGTGAGTGATTATCATATTATTTGAATGAATTAAGAGGGTTTGGATTTTGGACGATGTGTTCAAGAAATCAGTGACTTTATAAGTGAAAGAACAAAAGTATTATGTTGTGAACGTGCGTGAGATAATTCTTATTTAACGACGTTCTATACTATATACACTCTTTGAGTCATAGAGAAAATGATTTAGGGTCCCTCGTGGTGCAAGAATTCCAATGAGCCTTTGTAACTTCTCTTTGCAACCCTCCCTAACTTAAAAGGTCTTTAGATATGTCTACAAGAACAATATTTGAAGAGGACTCTCCTTTGTTTAAATGAAGTGTCTTCTCTTACAGGTATCCTGATGGAAAAAGAAACTGTCGCAACTATTACAAGTATTGATGTATTGAGTACGAGTGTACTTACTGAACTCAAACTTTTTTGTAACATCTTGAGGACATTGCAGTACTTTCTTATGGATATAAAAAAGATATTCCTCCGGTGTAAGGCTAAGTATTGCGATCTCTTTTTCCGAAATTTAAGTACCGCAGCTGCAGTAAGAACTAGAAGTAGTGAACATTGTTACCAACTTTTTCAACTGACAATTTCTATATTCGATTATCTTGACTAATTGAATATGATAAAGAAACGAATCGATTTGAAATGATGTCCACAAAAATGTAAATATGAAATAACTTTTACATTAATCCAACACAGGCACGTGTATTAACGCATCACGTATCTTAAAATAATAACAATTATCATTATTCCGAAGAAAATTTGACTTTGAGCTACTCAACTTGAATTGGTTAAACAGTTTACCGAAGATGTCAAGGAAAGTAATTCAATGTTTTAATAATATTATAATTTATATTGTTCAAATTTGGTGTCACTAAGTAGTTAGAGATCGCTGTACTTGCCTCTAAACTTGTCCTAGAAACAGTAATGGCGAATTTTCTGGTCATGATTTGTCAGTGACCTCCAACGCCCATATCCCGAAACATTGGTGAAACCTATTTGTGGTTCTGAATGTGGTTTAACACTTTTACCTTGAACGTATATTGAAAAGTTACCTGATTAACACCCAAACTGTCAACAAAAAGAAATGGTTCACCTCTTGTAGTTTTTGTGAAAGTTTCATTCCCATACTTTGATGTTCAGATGGTAAAGAAACAAAGTGTCTACCATTTTCACATCTTTTTGCAGTAAAGTTTTCAGCTTATCGAGCGTGTCTTAAAACCGTGCTGCAAAATTGTATGGCGTGTTATTTCTGTTTCATAAGAAACTTATTGCTAAGGGGGATATGGAATTGGATAGATTGATAAAACGTCAACATATCCAAGAATGGTTTACTCAAAGTGGTGTGATCTTGATAGTAGGGAGAATAATTTTAAAGAGAGACCATTAAATACTAGGAGAGCAGTTATTCAACAAAATATTTCTCCTAGAATTGTTAAATAAGTTCCACCATGGATATGGAGGGTTGTGGTCTCCAGAAAACTGTTGAAACAATATAATTCATTTCACTAGAAGTTTCTGAAACGAAGAGGACGTGAAATTAGTGATGTAAGAAACAGTGTTTTAATTGTGTTGTACATATTTCTCATCTTTCAGTACAGAACTGGAACACATAAGAAGCACAAAATGACAGCACTTTTTGTAAAACCACGAAAGCAGTGTTAGTTATAAATCGCCAGAGACGTTTTCCAGATCATTAACAAGCTTTCGTTTTATTAAGATACAGACAAGGTATCCATGGAAAGTATCGGTGTTCTAGTTGTTACTTTCAATCAGTGTACTGGAAAACTACATGAAGAAAGTGGCGTACTAAAAAAGACATAATTTGTGGACTAAATAATCTCACAAATTTATTGAAGATAAGATACATGTATTTTATCAATCAAAATGTGAATTTATAATTAAAGAACTTGTTTAAAAAATATATCTTGTTGAAAACCTGTAGAATCTGTTATGTACTCAAACCTATGTGATCTTGCTTCATTTTCCGAGTGGTGGATAGCAGAAGACATACTGTACTGTGCTGCCATCTGTGGATGCCTACTGAAACTACTGCGAAACGTTGCTCAGTGTTTCACATCGATTTTACTAAAAGTAATTGCGAGGTAACACAGACACATTCTGTCTTTCTTAACTAATGTGTATTTATCTTTTCATATGCTCAATTTGTAAAACGTATTTTATCTTAACTACGACCGAATGGATTGCCGTTCAACAAAGAATTAATTTTTGCACTTTAATTAATTATACGATTTTGTCACTATCATTATTGTAAGACGTTACGAAAAATGTTTACAATCACTTTTGTCAGAGCTTTTATTTTTTATTGTGAATTCTGTTTGGCTATACAACACAAGAATTCACAACAACGAGAAAGGTAGCATTGCTGAAATCATATTATTTTTTTGTTGTTGACTAATTTCTTGCGAGCTACGTAATATATTTAAAAAATGATTTGTGACGAACATATTAATGTGTGTTCTGCAACTCTGGTGGAACCTAACATGTGAGTTGGCATTTATTTTTTCGAGCCGCGTTATACTCGTAGAACTCAAAAGTTTGATTCACAATTCATTTCTCTTAATTAACTGTTTTACATTAACCTTTAGTTAATCAACAAGTCATATTCATACTTGCATTGTTCTAGTAATCGATAACTAATTTAGATATTAATTCATATTTGCGAACATTCCCACGCAAATTAATATATGAGTAATTATATCATAATAAAATATTGATTTGTGTTTATTCAGTTTCTGAGTTTCTGTTTTATAAGTATTGTATTTGTTTTTAAAGTTTTGGGGGCAGGATACTGAGGTGGTAAAATAATTACTCGTTTCACGTTTTTAGCATGCGAAGACGAAAAGTGAATGAAGCGTCACAATTTTTTTTTTGAAATATGAAAAACAGACATTGGATGTTATGAGTCACATAAAATATTAATCATGATTCTTATTATTACAATTGTATCATTGAAATGCATTCGATTCCTAATTTTCAGTCAATTGCCCAAAGGTGGAGCTATTTTTTTATTGCTCAATAATGAATTTAATTATTCAAATGGAAATATCTTATTACAATATTCGATGGGTTATCTATTCCTGCTTAACAGACTCGTTTGATAATTCTCCCAATTCATACTGTAATAAGATATATTTAGATATCGCAAATAACTATTTGGCAACTATTAATTTTAGTACAATGTGTATAGCAGGTTTTTGCCTTATTCTGACAAACCGGATCTTAACATTATTTTCATATTTTGTGCTGTGCCACGCTGAGTAGATTATTTCATAGAAATAGATTTCGGTGTGCTGTCTTGGATTTAGGTACTGCCAAGAGGAGGGGATAAGGTAGGACAAATGCTTACTCTGCCAAAGCTTAATATGTCGAGGCTTTATGTAAAGTACCCCTAAAAATCAAAGTATCAATTTGAAACTCCCAAAGCTCGGAGTTCATTCAGATGAATGGGGGAATATCAATTTTGGAGAAAATAAACTGAAGAGTTTAGTTGCTAGCGTTGGCCTCAGACGGACAGAGACAGACGTTTTGCCGTCGATCTATTTTTGAGTGGCTGGGACCCATAAAACATGAATTCTGGCTACATCACGTGTTGAAGGAATTTGTTTCTAGATTTAGCAAACGAATTTATTTACTATTTCACTACGAGGGCCAGGCAATACGCGTGTTTCTGCTGAATATTTGCCGTTTTTCGGCGCAAGATTACAATACTTAATTTTCCTACATTTGTAATGGCAAGAAAGAAAAAAAAACACGATGTCAATCAAAGGAAAGGATGAAAAACGGTGACATTGATTCTCTCAAAATACTCATTAAAAATGCACCATAGAACAAGTGACAAACTTTAAATAGTGTGGACGTAACATTGCGGACATTAAACTGAATGGTATGCAAAAGAAAATAGCAATATCTGCAGTGTGTATTAATTAATTAAATGGCTATCGTTTTAACTGAAAGTGGTATTGTATGATGCAAGGGACATATTATTTTTAATCGTTCAACTTAAACACTCACACGTGGTTTCTTCAATTTTATCATCCTAACAATATTTCTAAAATCCCAATCCTCTCTGGGGGGCATGAATGAATTGACATCTTGTTTATGTTAGTGTTTCACCAATACATTAAACATTTATCGAATTAATGTTATTAGAGTTCGGGAATAGTCGAGTTTTAAAGTTGTCTTATTCGATGTTTAAAATGTCATTAGGTTAGGTTGACGTTCGTTTATTGGGAATCGACGTCCTGGTAGAAAACATTGGATGTATATTTAATATAATATAACTAATATAATATTGGGAAAAGAGTTTGTCACGGGTGTAATTTATAACATATAAAGTACATTCACAATTAAACGTTCTAAAAGAGAAACATCCGCTGACCGATGACCCACAGGGTTGAATGTTTGCAAGTTAATGAAAGTGAAGCCACTAAGTTATTTCTGAATATTTTCAATGGAAAATGCAACGCCATTACAATGTACTTCACTACAAAAAATGCTTCTAAACTTCTTTGACATTCCTTTTAACGTGTTTTTCTTTTTCTTGCATTAATTATATACAAAGATATTACAACCCTACTACGATACTTCCATATTGGGGGTTAATGACATTTGAAACTATTACTACAATTTAGTTAAATCGCTATTCCGTCTTACTCGGTTTTCTTTTTTTTTTGAAATTATATGTAAAAACTAAATTTAAAAAAATATTCCTTAACGCCGACTTAGCAGCGTGGTCTAAGTTTCTGAAATTTCGCTCTAACGAGTTCGAAAGAGGTATTTTACAGTGAGAAACGATTCATGATTTAAGAGGCATTCATTTAATGGCAATACTTTTTACGGCAAATTATTAGTTTTACTGACTTTTTTTTATTTATCAGTAAATGAACCTTCGTTTAATGTTCCTAGCAAATGCCCGCAAACCAGCGTCATTGGAAAATTACAGAATACTGAACCCTTCAACCTCAAATTGCCCTTGAGATAAAATATAGACATAATGAACTTTGCGATGTAATATTTTTATAAACTGTTTCCTTAGCCGATAAATATATAGCACTGAAGTCTTATTGAATCTTATGTTATATTTTTCATTTTCCTTCTTTCTTGAGATCTCTGAAATTTGTCACCTAAAATTAGATGAAATTGTGTTACAAATATGTTCAGTTAAAAATGTTGAGAATAATTCTTTGTCTACAATTGCTACGAACTTCGACAGCCTTGCTAGAACTGTTTCCTCAGAAAAAGTAACTTTTCACAAATCAACTGGATTTGCTTTCCCCAACTTGACTTTATGACTAACATATTATCAGTTCGAAGGAGGAAAATAAACTGTATTCCCTTATTATCACGGCAGATATATACAACCGCGTGTTTCTTAGAGCTTGCTGAGTCACAAGCTTGAAAGTAATAACCCTATAATGTCAATAGAACTCATAGATAATTCTTCACTATGTTTGCAAACGTGAAATTGTTTGTACATTCCCGTAATACTGAACGGGCACTCCAAGGAGTTAGCAGGATTGTTGTTGTTGTTACTACTACTACTACTACTACTACTACTACTACTACTACTACTACTACTACTACTACTACTAATAATAATAATAATAATAATAATAATAATAATAATATCTTGTAAAGGGAAGGAAACTTTTACAGCACTTTGCGAATCTGTTAATTTTTCTCAGCAGCTCAAAGACGAATCTTTTCTAAGCGTCCTGATACCATAGGATCTGTGGTATCCCATAGCATATTATACTTTTATTATTCGATAGTTATTTGCAAGTTTCCCGTTATTAGATCTCATCGTGTCCTTGCTTATTTTGTTTTCGGTAGTGTCAACAATGATCGATAGTCACGCATGTTATTTTTCGGGAGGTGACGGTTCTTAGACATGGAATCCCACAAAGATGTCGAGGTTTCTCTCTCCAGGTATCTCCGCCATCGGGGCTCCACCCCAGACGGAAAAAGGTGCAGGGTTACGACGTGTCCCCTGACATGTAATGTAGAGTTAAGGTGGAATGGAGCATTTCAAATACTAAAATATTGCGTTTTGAAATGGAGGGTGTAGTATTTTATGGCACTGTAAAAAGTAAGATTTAGCATTTGTAGCATTTTTTCAGAAAATTATTACTGAGGAAGATCTCTTTGAGATAAAAAAGTATTTTATATTTTTTCCGATTTTCCGTTTTAAAATCAGAAAATAAGGGAAACTAATTTAATATTTCGTCGTTTGGGAACTTCTAGAAACAATTAAAAGAAGTAATTTTAAATCCTTGCAACGATTCTTGCCTTTTGTAGAACATAGAATCTTGTATAAGACTATTCAAAGGAGAGGGAAAAATTGTCTTGCAATTTGTAAATGCTTATTAAAACAATGCCTTATTTTAAAATGTCATGTATTTCGTTAATTTAAATAAATCTATATAAATAACTAATATACAGTTGAAAATTAACTGCGATTGTACCTCAAAGTTGGCTTTCTTTAACCTATATCTTCTGGCAGTAACTATAACTATCACTCAAATAACTATTTTAATTGAAAAATCGTTCAGCTCCTACACTGTCAAATTAAATATCTTCAAACATCGATACCTTGTTATCCATGTGGCATCCCTAGTTAGATAACGAAAACTAAGGAAACCATAAAATGCAACTTAGCAATTATTTCGCAGTTTTACGATCATTTCGTACTTTGTACGTGATTTCGCATTTTGAGATCGATTTCTCATTTTACCGCAGATTAAAAAGTAGAAATATACTTCACCGACCATCGAACATACGATTATTCATTTTTTCGTCGTTTGATAACATATGCATTTTTAGGAGTTGCTAAAATCTATCATCTCTAGTGACGTGTGTTAGTAAAAGTGTGAGTGAAATGGAAGAGGAGAGGGACAATGA